GGGGAGCGGTGCCGGAAGGACTCGGGGAGGGCCGCGCAGTCGGACCGGCTGCTGAGAGGAACGCTTCACGGGGGCAGTCTCCGCGTATCATGGGGAGCTAGAACGCTGCTGCCTGTGAGTCCTGGGCCCTGGCAGTTGAGGCAGAAGAGCGGGGAGGAGGGAGTCAGGACGCAGACGCACAGTGGGTGACTGTTGGAAGAAGCAGGTTATAGAGGAAGACGCGGGGCTGCGAGGGCATCTGGCTGGTCGGGACGGGCGCTGAGGGGATCGCGCTCGGAGGAGGCTCCGGGGCTGCGGACGGGGAAGGCTATGAGCTCCCCGGCCCCTGAGGGAGAGCGGGCACAGAAGGGACAGGCGTGTGAGGAGGAGCCCTCGCACACTTCGGAGACCCGGAGAGGAGAGGCAGGGGCGTGAAGACACGGGCTCCGGCGAGGTAGAAGCGGAGGAGTGAGGAGCCGGGCTCCCGGGACAGTGAAGACACGGGGCTCCTTCAGGATTCGCCGACGGGGGCTGCGGACGCTTAGGCTTCCTGAGGGAGAAGACTTGGGGGGGGATCTTTCTTTGGGGACGGGATGCGGGCTCGGAGACTTCCCCCACCCACAAGTTTGAGAAGCAACAGGGCTGAGTGCGGCTCCGCGTTCCTCAGATGGGGGATCTGAGACGGGGTGCGGGGTGTGTGCGTGTGTGAGGGGTGAGCCTTCAAGGGACAGGACGAGGGTTGGGCAGCGATCGGGCGATCCCGGCTGTCCCGATGTCCAGGGCAGGAGCACTGCCCGCTGGGCTGCTGGCAGGCTCTTGGCGCGGCTGAGCCTTAACCTAGGAAGCCCAGGGCCAGCATCTTCATTTTTCTCCTCCTGGCGGATCGGATGTCAAGTTGGAAACACTTGAAAGTCAGTTAATATACTTGGTAACAGCTTTGAATCTCATTCCACATAACCCCGACGGAGCACACATCCCCAGAGACCATCCTTGTCCAACACCTCGTTGACATTTAAGGGAGCTGATGTCCCACCAGCGATTCCAGTCACACTGAGGTGGTGATTCCACAGAGCATCCTGTGGGTGGCAGATACGAGAGGTCAGGCTAATATTGCTGGAATAAGTGCTCCTGGGATCTTTGTCCTGCCTTCAAACCCAGGAGGGAGATTCTGATAGACTAGTGTTTGACATCCAAACACTGAATGTTATCCGTAAGGAAACTTTGTAATTAAGCCTCTTGCTACTTATTTTTTAAAAATAAGCTGTTGTATCCTACATTTTTAGAACAAGCATTTATTAGGGATGGCTGTGGGGTGGAGGGGTTTTTTTTTTTTTAGATTTATTTATTTGCAAAGCAGAGATAGAGAAATCTTCCACTTGCTGTTTTATTCCACAATGGCCAAAATGTTTAGGGTGGAACGGACGGAAGTCAGGAACCTGGAACTCCATCCGGTATTCTCACATGTGTGTCAGGAATGCAAGCATTTGGGCCACTGTCTGATTTCCAAGGTACATAAGCAGGGACCTACATTGGAACTGAAGTAGTCAGGACTTGAACCAGCGTTCATACAGGATGCTATCATTACAGAGGACAGGTTAACTCCCAGCACTACAAAGGGTGGCTTTTTTTTTTTAAAGATTTATTTTTATTATTATTATTATTTTTTTTTTTATTGGAAAGGCAGATATACAGAGAGAGGAGAGACAGAGAGGAAGATCTTCCGTCCAATGATTCACTCCCCAAGTGAGCGCAACGGCCGATGCTATGCCGGTCCGAAGCCAGGAGACCCTTTGGGTCTCCCACGCGGGTGCAGGGTCCCAAAGCTTTGGGCTGTCCTCGACTGCTTTCCTGGGCCACAGGCAGGGAGCTGGATGGGAAGCGGGGCTGCCGGGATTAGAACCGGCACCCATATGGGATCCTGGGCGTGCAAGGCGAGGACCTTAACCACTTGCGCCACCGCGCTGGGCCCAAGGGTGACTTTTTAAAATAAGGATGGGTCTAGAGCCTTGGCTACTTATATCCCCTTTTCAATAGTTTTTTACTGAAGCCTTCTCACACTAACCACGCACTACCTGGGCAATTTTGCTTAATATATCACTTATGTTTGACAGGCCTACAAGTGAGATGAGATACTCTTTTTTTTTTAACTAAGATACACTCTTTTTTTATTATTTTATTTTTATTGCAAAGTCAGATATACAGAGAGGAGCAGAGACAGAGGATCTTTCGTCTGATGATTTACTCCCCAGGTGCCGGCTGGAGCTGTGCCAATCCGAAGCCTGGAGCCCAGAGCCTCTTCCAGGTCTCCCGTGTGTGTGCAGGGTCCCAGGGCTTTGGGCCGTCCTCAGCTGCTTTCCGAAGCCACAAGCAGGGAGCTGGATGGGAAGTAGAGCTGCTAGGATTAGAACTGGCACCCATATGGTTCCAGATGCATGCAGGATGAGGACTTTAGCTGGTAGGCCACCACGCTGGGCCCTTTCTTCTACTTTTGTAAATGCGTTATTATTCCTGTCTTGATTTGCCCATCAACAAAAGAGAGGTAATAATTATGAAATACAAATTATTGGGGCCTGCAGAATGACTCAACTGGCTAATCCTCCGACTACAATGCCAGTCCCACATGGGTACAGTTTCGAATCCTGGCTGCCCTTCTTCTGATCCTGCTCCCTTCTTGTGGCTTGGAAAAGCAGTGGAAGTCCTTGGAACCTTGCACTGGTATGGAAGACCCAGAAGAAACTCCTGGCTTTGGATCGGCTCAGCTCTGGCTGCTGTGGCCATTTGAGGAGTAAACCAGCAGATGGAAGATCTTTCTCTCTCCTGTCTCTGTAAATCTGCCTTTCCAATAAGAAAAAGTCTGTAACTAAAAAAAAAGAAAAGAAAAGAAAAGAAAAACCACATTGAATGAAAGTGCTTTCCTTTCCTTTTCTTTCTTCTTATTTCCTTTTTTTCCCCACATTTAGTAACTTACTTGAAAGCCAGAGTGACAGATATTTTTTATCTTCCACCCATTGTTTACTCCCCGTATGGCAGCAGTGGCCAAGGTTGAGCCAGTCAACAGCCGAAAGCCAGGAGCTCCATCCTGGACTTCAGTAAGGGTGGTGAAGGCCTTCGAGCGCCTTCCCAGGTGTCCGCAGGCAGTTGGATCAGAAGCAGAGAGGCTAGGCCTCCAAATGGCTCTCTGATATGGGATTTCTGCGTTTTAAGTGGTGATTTAACCCACTGTGCCACAACATTGACCTCAATACCTCCTTCTTATTTCCTCCTTCTCTTTTTCACCTCCTCCTCTTCACCCCCTCCCCTTTTAAAAGCTTTTTCTTTTTCCTTTTTTTTTTTTTCTTAAAATTCATTTCTTTTTATTTGGAAAGACAGATTCACAATGAGAGACAAAGAGCCTCTGTCGACTGTTTTCTCTCCTCAAGCGGCCACAGCAGCTGGAGCCGAGCCAGTCCAAAGCCAGGGACCAGGAGCTTCTTTCAGGTCCCCCATATGGGTTCAGGCTTTGGGCCATCCTCAACTGCTCTCCTAGGCCACAGCAGGAAGCCAGAAGGGAAGCTGAGCAGCCAAGACACAGAATAAAATCCATGTGGGAACCTGGCACATGCAAGGCAAGGATTCAGCAACTGAGCCATCATGCTGGGCCCAAGATTTTTATCTTCTTTACTTGGAAAGTCAGAATTACAGAAAGATAGAGAAAAAGAGAGAGAGATCTTCCATTGGTTCACTCCCCAAATGGCTGCATGGCCAGGCTGGGTTGTTCCAAAGCTGTGAGCCAGGCGCTCATTCTGGGTCTACCACGCGGTAGGTGAATGATCCTCCGCTGATCTCCCAGGCCTTAAGTAGGGAGCTGGATATCCTGTGGAGCAGCAGGAACTAGAACCGGTGCCCGAGTGGGATCCCGGTGCATTCAAGGCGAGGGTTTTAACCGCTACGCTATTGCTTCTGTTACTGTCAAAGACTGACTAGTTTGGGTTTTTATGTAGAATAATATTCAAGGAGAACTAAAATGTCTGTTTTTATATAAGTATAGATATTTCTGAAGGCATAGGATCTTTGTAGAGTGCTTCCTTGCACTCAAGTGAAATATATTTAATTTTAAATCTAGGAGGCTGAGAAGCAACAATTTGAAGCACAAGGGGCTCAAATTGGGTTAACTTTCCAATGAATAGTAATGTGGACTAGAGAATTAGAAAAATGAGGCTAGGGCCCAACACAGTAGCCTAGTGGCTAAAGTCCTCACCCTGAATGTGCCAGGATCCCATGTGGGCACCAGTTTGTATCCTGGCTGCCCTACTTCCCATCCAGCTCCCTGCTTCTGGCTTGGGAAAGTAGTGGAGCACGGGCCAAAACCTTGGGACCCTGCACACACACGGGAGACCTGGAAGAAGATCCTGGCTCCTGGCTCTGGATCGGCTCAGCACCGGCCGTTGTGGCTGTCTGGGGAGTGAACCAGTGGTCTAAAGACCTTTCTCTCTGTCTCTCCTTTCTGTAAATCTGACTTTCCTATAAAAATGAATACATTTTTAAAAAAGATTTATTTTATTCTTATTGGAAAGTCAGATATATAGGAAGGAAGAGAGACAGAGAGGAAGATCTTCCGTCCGATGATTCACTCCCCAAGCAGCCACAACGGCTGGAGCTGCGCTCATCCGGATCTCCCATGCTGGTGCAGGGTCCCAAGGCTTTGGGTCGTCCTTGACTGCTTTCCCAGGCCACAAGCAAGGAGCTGGATGGGAAGCGGGGCCACCAGGATTAGAACTGTAACCCACATAGGATCCCAGTGCGTTCACAAGGACTTTAGCTGCTAGCCACAGAGCCGGGCCTAAACATGAATAATCTTAAAAAAAAAAAGAAGAAGAAGAATGAGGCTCACTTAGTTGAAGCTACGTTTTTTATCAGTGGTTAGCCTATATTAGTACAGTGCATGTATGTGGTCCAGATGTATTAACACCATCTTATGAAGAAGCCATTTCCCTGTCACCGTCAAAGTACTTGATGATTTAAGTAATGATAAACATTCTCATTTACATATTCAAAATGTTCTTTTTTACTCATTTGTGGCTCTGGTATTAATTGACATATTACAATAAAATTTCAAAGTACTAGATAATCATTCTGTTACAGTTAGAACCAGCCTT